TGAAAAAATTAAAACTCATTCATGAGAAAAATCCATACTAATATTTTCATATTTTATTTGTGTTAAAGAATTTCTTACAAAGAAGATGACCCACCAATGACCGAAGCTATAAAAACAATATTCCGGGAGAACCTAGAGAAAAGATTTCCAGTAACGGAGGATATTGTGTGTGCTGCTCTTCTCGATCCAGGAATGAAACGGCTGACCGCGGTGGAGCAGTATCTTGTCAAAATAGGAGTGTCAAAGGTCAATTATTTAAGTAACATGTGTAAGAAATATTGTCGCCAAGTTGAACAATCACTGCCACCAGTAGAAACGGTCCACTTAGATTTAAAAATTTGTTTATGCTAAAATTAACAAAATATGTAACCTGACATTTTTATACAGGGTTACGAAAGCATCGATCTCACAGCGACGGAACCTCCTACGAAGAAACAGAAAAGTTTTGATGATCTAAAATCGAATTTGCTAAAAAAAAACATTCCGCAACAATCCCGGATGAATCTCTCAATGGGGAAATCAAGAAATACCTGGTCGTGGCTCACAACTCTGAAAATATAATTGATTGGTGGAGAAAAAACTCATCAATATTTCCAAATATTTCTCAGTTGGCAAAAATATTTATGTGTATCCCGGCTACTAGCGCACCTTCAGAACGAGCTTTCTCGGCCGCAGGATTAGTTGTGACATCACGAAGATCATCGTTACATCCATTAAAAGTGAAGAAAATATTATTTGTTCATGACAATTACAATACTGTTTGAGTGGTAACTAGTTAAAAAATAAAAACAAAATTCTTTGTTCGTTAAAATACTGCAACGGCTTAGATATTTCAGTTTGAACATTTTCATAACACAAATTTGAGGCTCGAATAGACGGCGCGCCGCCGCCGCCATCAATTTTGAGAACGCCACGCCGCCGAGGAAAATACGTTGGCGCGCACAGCGCGCCGCCGCCGCCGCAGATTTTCGACCCTCGCGCCGCCGCCGCCATATATTGGTCAGCGCCGGGCTCTGTTTTATTTGCTTTCCACAAGAATTTCTTTGTTTGTAAATGAGTCAAATTATATGAATAAATCCATTGTAATATACAGTGTCGGACAGATGGCTACGTCCACATAGTCGCGTCAATTTCATTTTCAAATTGTCACTGAACTACTGAACCAATTTTCATCATTGATATATCAAATTCTCACAAATTTAACGTAATTTCATAAAACATATGAGTTATTTCTGAAAATTCTGGGAAAACTGAGAATCATAGTGCAGAGCGAGAGAGGATGAAATTTGAGCGGACAAAAGTCTACGTCCACTTCACTTTAATTGTCAACAACAAAAATCTCTCCAATTTATAAAATCAGGTAACTTAATAAATCTATCAATAACATATGCCGCATTAATTTTTAAATAATTTTCTTCCAGAAAAATATGATAGCGTCGACACGCAAGGAAATTCCTATCGCTATTCGAGATCTTGTCATTCAGGACTGGAAGGGTGGACAAAAAGGGGGCTGTCGCAGAGACAAATATGGACCAAGTATAAATTAGCAAGGACAACCATCCAGACAATCATTAAGAACTTTAAAGCTAATGGTTCAGTCCAAAACAAGGTCAGAAGTGGTCGAAAACCCATTTTGGCTCACCGAGAAGTACGCCACGTGCTCAACAAAGTCAACGTTACACCCTCACTTAGTGCTCCAAAGCTATCTACCGAGATCAAGGAGATGTTCGGCAAACAGGTTAGTCCTATGACCATCCAAAGAACACTGAATAAGGGAAATTTGAAATCCCACAGAGCAGTCCGGAAGCCTCTTATTGTACCGAGGAATGCAACCAAACGAGTGAAGTTTGCCAGAGACCACATTTCCAAGCCACAAACATTCTGGGACATATTTTATGGACTGACGAGTCAAAGTTCAATGTCTGTGGGTCAGATGGGCGTCGTAGAGTGTGGAGGTATCCAAAAGAAGCTTTGAATCCAAAAAATCTCAACCCCACAGTTAAGCACGGCGGCGGGTCGGTAATGGTGTGGGGATGCATGGCTTCAAGTGGGGCAGGAAAAATGGAATTTGTTGACGGAATTATGGACCAATACAGGTAGCAGGGAATACTTGACCGTAATATCCAGGAATCTGTTCGAAAACTTGGACTTGGACGACGATTTGTCTTCCAACAAGACAACGATCCGAAACACTCTGCCACGTACACCATGGAATACTTCAAGAAAAAAAATTTCGAAGCTAGAATGGCCTCCCCAATCTCTAGACTTGAATCCCATTGAGCATCTGTGCGACCACATTGAAAGAGAAATAAGAAAACAATCTTTTTCAGGAATTCCGGGCCTTAAATCCAGAATTCGTGAAGTTTGGGAAACCATTTCTGAAGATGTGACCAAGAATTTGGTAAACTCTATGACTCGACGCCTTGAAGCCGTCCTTAAAGCGAACGGAGGCCCAACCAAATATTAAAAATTAATTGTTATAACATTCCTTATAAATTACAGTTTTTTTTGTATGTTTTCTCTTACTGGACGTTGACTTTTGTCCATCCAATTGTTTTCATTTTGAATTAAAATACATCTCTGGCCTAAAATAAATTTTTTAGCGGAAAACTAATAATGTGCTATGAAATTACGTTAAATTTGTGAGAATTTGATATATCAATGATGAAAATTGGTTCAGTAGTTCAGTGACAATTTGAAAATGAAATTGACGCGACTATGTGGACGTAGACATCTGTCCGACACTGTAACGCCTGTTGGGATTTGAATAAATTATTTTCCTTATTGGTTTAAAGATAAAGGATTTATATAAAGTTTGATTAACCTACATATTTACATAAATGTGTTATCCCTATTGTCGTTGCAAAATAATAATGATAAAATCACTAGAGTTGATTTGTCCGTTATATAAATAACTAGGATTTAAGCCCGTCAATCGACGGGCAAAGAAGAGAAAATTGGTGAAAGTACAAAATTTCACTTACGCAAATATGCTGCAAAATAAATAACCCCTTAACAATTTGATGCTGTTATGCCTCTTAAAATTCTGGGTGATGTCGTCTCCTAAAATGTGCCAGCAATAACAACAGAAGTAGTTAGGGCCAATCGTTGGATTTTATTTCACAAACAAAATGATTAACCCTGTTTTGCTTTTCAATAATGCAAGCACTAAGAAAATAGGCCTTAAGCCAAATACAATGATAGCTCGAAGCCAAATATGTAAAGGCACATAGCCAAATAAAGGTAAGAAGCCAAATATATCAAGACCAGAAGCCAAATTAAGGCATAAAGTCAAATATGTAAAGGCTCTAACTCGTTAAGTGGTACGAAGCTACACAAATTAAAATATCGGACCTTCAGGGGTCAATTTTCCCTTTTTGGGCCTATCCAAGAACGCTGCTTCGTCAATTTAGGTTCACATTGGAAATTCTGCATAGATCACACCATCTTGGTCCGGTTTGCAATTTTATATGCCGAAAAATAAGAAATAAAAAAATAACACGTGGCCAGTCTGCTATCAGAACCGAAAGAGACCAAATTATTATTTCCCTCCAAATGACATCACATGATTGAGCAGGTATGATAGAGCACGTCGGCCGCGCTCCCTTAACCCATTGTCGTAAAAATAATTTTAAACTAAGCACGTATCCTTTAGGAGGATGGGGTAGAGGAAGGGGTGGAGGTAGAGGTGGAGGAAAAGGTGGAAACCAATTTGACGGATGTGTGAGAGCATGTGGGACCGATCGGAATTGTTCAACATGTGGAAGTGTGTTGAAGGGACTTGCAACCACAATGGCCGGTAAGTAATCTTGTTGTATATTTACTTGTGGTATAAATTTTGGTATAAATTTTAATTAAATCGAACCCTAGCAACATGCAGTCATGCTCATTGTGGTGATAAAATCCCACTCCGATTCGGGCCCAATCATGGGGAATTCGACTCGACTCTGCTTATGTTCCAAATACATGACTTTTTATTTGTATTTAGGGGCTCAGATGTTTTGTGAGCTTCGTCGTCATCAAAATTCTACTGCGAAGGAAAAAAAGAGCCCTTGGAAAAGCAAGCGCAAACCTCATCATCGCTCTTCTTTCTATATACAATTTGAAATTTCTTTGAAGGTATTCGAAGGACGTAGATGTTTGGAAACATGCACATGTACATAGGTGGCTGGATGCAGCGAATAAGATTTACAAATGTGTAAATATTGGGTACGAGTTTGTATTGCATTGCATGCAGTTATTATGCATATGTACAGTTGGATGGATGGATGTTGTATGGATGGATGTGTTGGATGGGACAAAGACAAACTCTCATCCAACTCACTACACACGGCCCATCACCCGACGTAGCACTGGACGACTCGACTGCTTCATAAATGCATGGTAAAAGAACGCTCCTGCAAAAACTCGCATGTACATTACTTTCCACGGTCATATATATATATATATATATATATATATATATATATATCAAATAAAGAAAATAAAAGAAATTTAAAATAAAAATTAACCTAAACTAATCAGAAAGTCTGGAAATATGGGTGTTCATCACTGATGAATCATCAGTGCCGAAGCGTCACCGTAATGTCCGTGTGTGGACACACAGTAGATAAATGCCTAGTATTTTCTTATTATGAGATTCAAAGGAGTAATTTATTGGATAAGGATGCCCCTTGAAAATACTCTTATTGACATTTAAATGCACAAAATGTAATTAAATCCCACCAAATCAAAAAATAATATCATCTTGTACGCTAATCAACTAGTAGGTTAAAAATCGTGTGATTTTATTTTTCTAATTTTTGGAAAATTAATTTTTTTCCCTTTAAAGACAATGATAAATATACATAACCAAAATTAATTCATACATTTTGTACTCTAAAATTATTAACTTTAATAATTAACTTAAAAACCTATTACCGCTTAATTAGAAATACTTAATTGACTTTACTAAACATCATAATTTTGACTTTCCGAGTTTTTTTTAAACCTCTTTCATGAATTTGCTCTAAAACATATACTTAGAATAGCTGCTTCATAAATTATAGCTATTGTGTCATGAATTGGAAACCAGTTTATATTAACTGATATTTGTTGACATGTTAATAAAGGATTACTTGACTTGACTTGACTTGATATACCTGCTACAATATAAACTGCAAATTCCAGCTCGAACACAAATAACGTGTCAAATGCAATGGGTTCGTAATCTCGTATTGCCATCGGTATATGCATTACATATTTTTATTGACACCAAGTGGTTTAATGACCCACGTCTGTGATAAGCAAAATTTGAACATGCGTCAATGCCATAAAAGAATTTCAGATGGCCAGCTTAAAAGGTTTGATAAAACCTCCAGTCCAATAAAAAGGTTTGATAATCTCCAGATGTCATGTATTTATCTAATCCAATCCATTAAAGGGATTATAATTCCAATGACAAATTCCAACTTGTTGCATAAATTTCACGTTACTTAACACCACGCAGTCATTTATGTACAACACAAGGCCTACAGAGAAAAACATTTAGTTATTGCTTACAACTCTGCTGGAATATCCTCAAGTTCCTAAAATAAGTTACTGTAGTAAGATGCAATTCTTAAAATTATTACCTGTTTTTCTCCTACTTCTCTTTTTTGACCAAAATACTCTCGCTGCGGAGTTTGAGTACGAAAATTGCATGGAAAACAATCCACCGGAGGACGAAGACTTTGACTTTATTGTGGGTAAGTAGATAAATGTCTTTAGGAAATGTTTATATTTTTGGGCGAAATTAATAAATTGTCTGTTATTAAAGTTGGAGCAGGTGCAACCGGCGCTGTGGTAGCTAATCGACTTTCAGAAAGCGGAAATTATTCTGGTAGATTTCAAGGAGAATACATAACTTAATCCTTAATCCAAGAAGGAATAAATATGTCCCACGTCATTTGTCAACGGCAGATCTTGATGCCCCCTGGACAGATTTTTGTATCCAACGACTCTACTAAACCCCAAAGTGGTTTGACTCCCCATGGTATAAAAACACTAAAACCACCCCTATTCAAACATTCACCAAAAAATCAAGTTATCATAATTTCATAATTCCGTTACTAAGTAGCTTGCGCTACTTTATGCGATCGGTTAGTTAGCATGTCCGTCCGTCTGTCCGTCCGTCAACACTAAAACTCTAGAACGGTTTGTCGCAGCGACCTGAAATTTTTAACACATGTTCTACAGGGGTAGGGGGTGACACCCTATTAAGGGGGTGTGGCCACTTTGTCGACATCATGTCGAAAAACGTCGCCATGGCCAAATTTCTGCATTTTTTGGGGGATTTGCATGAAATTTGGGCAAAACATGTTTTTCAGTGTTGTCGACATGTCGCAATATGGCGATTAAGGTTTCGACGACAAATTTTGTCGGCATGCCCTAATTTCGGCATTTTGCGGTCAATATGCTTGAATTTTAGGCAAAACATGTTTTTCTGTGTTGTCGACATGTCGCAGTATAGAGCATGTGGTCAATTAATTAATTAATCAATCATTAATCAATTAATTCATCAATCAGTCAGTCAATTAATCAATCAATTAATTAATTACTTTAATTAATTAATTTAATTAATTTGAGCTTTGTAGCGCAAATTAATACTCAGCATTCTCAGCATTCTCAGCATTATTGCGCTACTTATGTATCCCGCTTTATTTCACTCCGAGAAAGATCCCTTGCCATATTACATTTATTTTTTCCAATTTCTGAAATTTCCTCACCAGACGTTTGTCTGAAAAAAATCAAAATTTCGAAGACACCTTCGGGTTGACACTTCTGGTGTACTACGACATAACCATAGGGTGTCGAGATCTGTGATTGGCACTTGACTTGGTTGAGTGGTAGCTCTTGAAAGCATAATTTAAGACAATCTAAAAATTCATGTCCATCTTTCCCCGCAGTTCTTTTACTCGAGGCGGGAGGTCCACCCCACTGGTCAACAGAAATTCCTCGCAGAGCCGAAGAAACCTGTGATCAGTCACAATGGGATTGGAATTTCTTGTCAACGCCCCAAAGTAAGGCAGGATTCGGTTTTCCAAATAATGTAGGTATTTATGACACGACCATGTTGAGCCAGTTATGTGTTTAATCTACATCTCTTCTCAAACCCGTAGCGGATAAAACTCTACCGAGGGAAAATGCTCGGGGGATCATCCAGCCACAATGGGATGTACTACATCCGCGGAAACTCTAGGGATTATGACAAGTGGGCAGAACTTGTCCAAGATGACCGCTGGAATTTTACAAACGTACTTCCGTATCTCAAGAAAATTGAGACGTATTACGGTTCCTATTATACAAGTTAGTATATTTCTATCAAAATCTACAGGTTTAATATATTTTATTGTGTACGCATGCCACTTTTTAAAACTTTCGCAACAGTTCGAATTTTATTTTATTAGACTCAGATTACCGCGGTGGCACCGGCCCATTGCAAATCACCGAGCAAAACTTCCGCCCTTTAAACGACGAGTGGTTAGCGGCCGGAGCAGAATTCGGGTTTCCAATCAACCAGGATCAAAATGCGGACCAGGTAGCGTCTTTCTTTCCCAGTCAGGTCAACATTGATCAGCAAGGGCGGCGAAGTTCGGCGTATGAAGGGTACCTCGCACCGGCGCGGGATCGTACAAATTTGAAAATTTTGTGCAACGCTTATGTCACCAAGGTATGAACGGTACTTTATTTCGGCTGGCCAACTATTTACCATAAATTAACCTCGGTTTACCTAAATATTTAGGTAAACTTTGCCGACGGGGAGGATAAAAGGGTTGAGGGCGTCACATTTATCCGGCATTGGTCTGAGGTGACGATTAAGGCCAGGAAGGAAGTCATCCTTAGCGCGGGTGCGTATCAAACTCCGCAGCTCTTAATGCTATCTGGTATAGGGGACGCGACACATTTGAGAGAAGTTGGGGTACGGTGATTCACACGTTGCACGACATTAAACCTAATTTCTTAAATCTCCTAATCCTAGATTACCCCTCGAATTGATATTCCCGCTGTCGGAAGGGGTCTTCAAGATCACCCCGGCGTACTGTTTGGCCCATTCATCCTAAACACAAGTTACACTCCGCCCCTCGTATCTGGCCCAGACGTTGAGCAGGAATACGCCCAAAATGGGACGGTCCCCTTTCATCCCCATTATTTTCAGGGGCGGCTATCTTCTCGACCAAGGGTGACCCCACGTGGCCGAATGCCCTCTACCAACTCCTCCCCAGTTTCCGACCCAACTGGCCAGACTACGATTTGGACGAGCCTGCCGCCCTCATTCCTTACTCGGTCACTCTGGTCATCAATCATGGCCTCCCGAAGAGTGAAGGGGTCATCCGTCTGGCTTCCTCCAACCCGGTTAACCCCCCGGAGATTGACGTCAACTACTTCGACGTAGACGAAGATTTGACCGATATGGTGGACATGTTCAAACTTGCGGTAACTCTGCTGGAAGAGAGTGCCAGCTTTGCCAGGTTCGGAACGAGGCTGTGGGGCGGGAAGATGGGGCAATGTGCCATGTTTGAGGATCGGTCGGATGAGTATTTCCGGTGCTACTTGAGACACTATGCGAGTAAGTGCAAGATTGGGAGAGGCTCCGCTTGATAATGGCTTGGATAAAATTGGCAATATTTTGCATGCACATTTTTCCAAAATTGGTGTATAATTCTGCATAAACTTTTATGCCGTGGTGTGACGCTTAATTCTGCAGAACCGATTCCTCCAGGGATTACGATAAAATTTTGCTCATGCCATTTTCATACGGGGTGGTGTGATATATTTACATAATTTATTCTACAGGGACTGGCCACCATCCATCATGCACGGCGAGAATGGGAAAGGCAGGGGATGTGCAAAACTCCGTGGTGGATACGAACCTCAAGGTCCATGGGGTACTTGGCCTAAGGATTGCGGACGCTTCGGTATTTCCGACAATCACGAATGCCAATATCCACGCGCCTTGTTTCATGATTGGGGAAATGGTGGCGGATTTTGTGCTTAAAGAATGGCAAGAAGGGACCACACCCCCAACGGATCAAACCACTCCCACAATCGCAACAACTCTTGCCGCCCATGGCAAGTCAAACAGCCTTGCGGGATTTCCTATAGTGGGGGCGGCTTTGGTTTACTTTCCCTTTTTGTTACAAGTATTTTAAAATTGTAAACAGAAAAAATATGGCAATGCGCAATAAAGAAAATCACAGAAACAACTGGCTCGCAAACGATTTGGATGCTGGCATTGACTTGAAGGATAACTTGTAGATACCAACGTTGCAAACAATGTTATGCACCAAAATATGGATTAAATATTGGCAAATAAGATTTCAACACTTGTCGCATTGTTTGAGTTTTTTAGTTTTTAGGAATCGTGAAAATAAGTAAAATTTACATTTAAAGCTGAAAATCAGACAATAATAAAAAACACACGTACTTTATTCTGAATTTAAAACATCGGATTATTTTGTATATTTATGCTTAAGATTCTTTATCTCTAGGCAAATCACCCATCGGGGGGACAAATCCTCAATCAAGTGTAATGTCACCGCAAAAACGAGCCATGTTTCTCTCCATTTTTCTCGCCTGAAACAAAAAGTTATTTAGAAGTACGATTAAAGATCCACACCAAGAAACGTTTTTCGAACAAACGGTTGTCACAGTAGGACCTTTTAAGGTCAGCGCAAGATCAGTTACCCTGAAATGACGGGGTTTTCTACTAGTAAAACAGGTTCGTGACCGAGCATATTTTTCATTGGTCTAAAAATCTATTTGGTTTTATTCATCCACAGATTATTTTATTCATCCACAGGATTTCATCCACAGATTAATTTGCGCTATAAATCTCATTTTACCCCGATCACACTGCGACCGCACCCCCTGGCGCCGAGGGGGTGTGGTCCAAAAGTTTACGGGATCCTCCCCCTGGGGTCATGCGTATGATGCCGCAAACCGATTTCAATTATCTTGATGCGTTCTCGAGTTATAGTGTTGACGGACAGACAGACGGACAGACTAACTAACCGATCGCATAAAGTAGCTTGCGCTACTTAATAACAGAAACTAGAAAAAAAATAACAGAAAATAGACACAAATAACAGAAAATAGACACAAATAACAGAAAAGAGACTTAAAGTCTATTTTTAACCGAAATAATGACAGACAAATTATCAGTGATAATATTTGTTGATTTTCTTAAAAATTAAAGATTTTTGTGATATTTTCCCGGGCTTCGTGGCCTCCATTTCCTTTCCGAATAGGTGTCGAATAAATTTTACTTTGGCGTTCAATTAGGCATGATATTGGGATTAATTGGGGCCCAAGAAATAAACGAATTGAGCATGACATCCAAGAAAGTATGCCTGATAAGTGTTGCTGATTTGCTTAAAAATTAACATTTTTTTAATATTTGGCCGAGGTTTATAAACAAAACAAAAATAAAGGACAAGAATAACAGAAAATAGAAAAAAATAACAGAAAATAGAAAAACATAACAGAAAATAGAAAAAACAGAAAATAGGAGTAGTCAGCATCGCTACGATATCCGACTTCGAAGTGTAACCCGTTATAGGAATTAAATGTTGTGCCTCGTTCAACTCCACCGGCTTGCCGATTGGTAGAATTTAGTCCAAGATACGATTTTTGAATGGCAAAGATGACTCCCTTTAAGAGGAAGCTATCCTCGTTGGCTTGTGGTTTCCGCCACTCCAGCATTTTTCGAGTTCTTTGAATTGCAGAGGTAATCCATTCTGATAAAAGATATGCTACATTGTACGTTCTTGGAGGTGATGTCGATATCATAGTGTAACAAAAGCGGCAAACGTGGAGAAGATTTAGAGCTGAAAAGGATCGCTCGAAATGAAAATCCAATCCAATCCAGCCCAATCCAATAGATAAAAATCCAACCCAATCCAACTGAATTTTGAAAAAAAAATCCAATCCAATCCATTCGAGTTTTAGAATTAAAAATCCAATCCAATCCAATAGAAAAAAATCCAATCCAATTGGAAAAAATCCAATCCAATAGAAAAGGCTAATTCAATAGATATCTCAAAATCCTTATTGATATATTAAGTATAATTTTTCAATTTTAAACTACACCAAATTATTTAAAACAATTAATTTTGACATTTAAATTAATTTGAAACAATTAAACATGTTGTTACCAAAGTTGATAATAATAACAAGCAATAATAACATTTGTGGATCCACAATGACGAATTAAACAATCCATGAAACGAATACTAGGTTATTTTATATTTTGAATAAGTTGGGAATTTATATTGCGCTTAATGTATAAGAGATTGCGCTAAGCTGGCTGATCAGCCCATTTGCGGGTAACTCATTCCATTGGACCAATCCAATGGAATACTACCAATGAAAATACAATCCAATAGAAACAAGTCCAACCCAATCCAACACACCCGTCCAAATAAAAATCCAATCCAATCCAATCCAATTGAAAAAAATCCAATCCAACAAACTCCCCAAAATAAAAATCCAATCCAATCCAATGGACTTTTGGTCCAATAGATCCAAATCCATTGGATTGGATTGGACTGGATTGGACTGGATTTTCTGGATCCGATTTTCAGCTCTACGTAGACCGAAGGTAAATTTTGACAAATTTCAAGAGTTGAAGTTCTAAATATATTAAAAATTTTGGCTTCTACATTATAAAAATTTGAACTTTCAAATCACAAAATTTTGGACTCTCAATTACAAAATTTGAGCTACAAAGTTATAAAATTCGGATATATAAACTACAAAATTTGTACTAAAAATTCCAAAATTTTGATTTCGACAAAATTTTGACTCAAAATTCCACAATTCAAAAATTTTGAGTCCAAAATTAAAATTTTGACCTCGAAACAAAAACGATTTTAGTCAAAAATTATTTCTAGAACAACGTAAATTAATGTGGGGCTGGGTGGTTTTCGGGGTGTGGCTGTTTGCGGGGGCGTGGCGCTTTGTTTTGAACACGAAATTTCGCCATAGAGAGCCTCTGTCTCCAATTATATTTATAAGATAAGATAAGATTTATTCAATCCTTATAGAGGCCACTTCGGGCCCATGAAGGTACAGTTATTAGTTTGAATTAAATTGTTGATAATAATGAGTTCCTAAGTAATATTTGTAGTGAAATTAGCAGAAATTACAGTAAAATAATATTGCACGTGTGTTGGACTACTGAGGTGTAAAGAGTAATTAAGGTGTGTTTGATTGCCAATTGTGTTAGTGTTTGTGATGGGGCGGGGGCGGAGTTGGTGAGGTTGGACGTCAGGAAGAGAAGGATGATGATGAGGGGGGTGCTTGATTGCCAGTTGCGGTGGGACGGGGGCGTGGTTAGCGGGGTTGGACTTCAGGAGGAGAAGGATGATGATGATGAGGGGGAGGGGGATGCTGGGGCTGGCCTTTTTCTTCGGTTATCATGTATGGTCAAGATAAGGTTGCGTGGTGGGAGTGGTGGTGGCGACGGCAGGGGGGCCTGGCGTCAGTAGTTGCTGGGGTCTTGGCGGCGGCGCTGGGGACGAGGGAGGCGGCGAATTTGCATGATCCCAATCGTGGCGGAGATTATGGCGGTCAGGAGGAGTGCGAGGAGGAAAATGGTTTGTGTAATGTTGAATTTTTCCATACTATCGTGAGCCTGGGCCTGGTGTTCAGATTGTTGTGTGAGAAGTTTGTGATTTTCTCGCTCCAGGTATGCATTGAGTATGGAATACTGAAGTATGGAGTTGTACACATTGTTGTATTCGAATCCGTTTTTGTTCGTAAATTCTCCTGCCTTGCCGATGGTGTTGCGGACGTGGGATACGAAGTCGCTGACTCCAAGTCCCCCCTTGATCACGTTGGCTAGCTGGCCGTACGAGAAGCTGGTGGTCTGGTGGGCAAATCCGACGATGAGGAGAAGCCCCAGAGAAGCCGAGAGAGTGTAGAGTTTCATGGTGTCAGATAACGGGGGATAACGGGAGTGAACTTGACGGAGTGGGATTAGTGGGTCAGTGTGTGTGGACGAGCAGGGTGAAGGTGGCGAGTAGTGGCTTGGTCAGATTACAGCTTTGGAGTGGAGGTTTCAGATTGCGCGTTGTAATACTTATGGAGTATGGTAGGGAAGTTCTTGAATTTGCATAAGACAGCTGTTGACAAATCTTGCAAATTTCAGGCATTCCGTCTTTGAAGTGGGATTGAGGATGGAGCCGAGGTCAGTGCACAGTGGTATGGGTTTGTTTTGGAAAAATGCATTCCTACTTTCGATGTGCAGAGGACAGCTACATAAAATGTGCCAGAAAGAGTGTTCCTCATTTTGCATATGTTGCATATTTCCTTGTATTTAATGCGAAGTATTCCAAGCGGAGTGTAGAATGTGCCTTGCCCGAGACGACATTGGGCAATGATTCTCATAGCTCTGAGTGGAATAGGAAGGCCAGTATATGTTGCTGCTTTCTGGTATTCCGGGGTCAGTTGTGTGTAGTACTTAAATCTTTCAGATAGGGTTACTCGTTTGACGTCATCTGTCCGTTGCTGTAGTTTGCTTGCATCTAAGATTCCTGGGATTATGTGGGAGAGGGTGGATGGAGTCATTTCCTGCGCAGAGTAATGTGGTGCATATTGCTTGATTAAGGAGACCATTTGCTGCAGCCAATTGTACAGGTCAGAGTTGGGTCCATAAGAGGCCCTTACTTGTAGAGCTTGAAGGCATTGGCTTGTGTAGCGGGTGGGTGGGTGACTCAGTAGTTTCCACAAGTAGCGCAGTGACTGCAAGAGAACAGCCTATCTGGTACTGGGGCGGTTGAGTTCGAGTCGAAGTGCATAGCTCGGTGTACCATGGGGGAGGCCCAACAAACGTCTATGGAACTGATATTGGATTTTTTCTATTTCGTTCAGATAGCGTAGGCTCCAGATATGGGCACCATACATGGCAGTGGATGAGACCAGGGCCTGGAAGAGGGTATACTTTTTGTCGAGGGGTTCAAGTCTTGCACGGGTGAAAATTTTCCAGGTGCTTCCAAGAGCCGTCAATCCTTTCTTTCGGAAATGTTCGGCAGCCAGAGGGAATAGACCGGACGACGAGAGAGGGACCCCGAGGTAAGTGTATTGCTTGACGATCTCGATCTTTTCACCCTTGTATGTGAAGTTAAGACCCTTTTTGAGTTTCCCTGCCCGTCTGAATACGATTATTTTCGTTTTGTCCATGTGGACCTTGAGTGAGAGTTGGTCGAAGTATCGGGTTAGGCGTCGAATTTTCATCTGGAGGCCTTCGGGCGAGGGGCTCATAAGGATCATGTCGTCGGCATATAGCAGAATGTGTAGGGCGAGCTGGGGGGAGATCTGGATGCCTTGTGCTTTAAAGTCCTTGAGTACCTGCTCGATGTCTGAGGTGTAGAGGGAGA